GTTACACAAAGGAGGAAACGAGGTTACAGAAAGCACGATGCAAAAATACAATAGCCTGTGTTGCTTGGCCAAGAGAGATGGCATACAATCTGCCACACCTCTCTTCCTCTATCTCTCCATCTCTCTCTCTCTTTCTTCATTGTCATGAAATAAGGACCCATGGGAGGACAGACCACCTGGTCACCATGGTTACAGGGATTGAGTGCCCCACGCGAGTACACGTTCACATTCTCTTACACACAAAACATCCTGCACTTTTTAAAGGTACAAAGAGCTCCTGAATATATACATATAGAGAGAGAATGAATCTATGAGATATAAAGCCTTGGACGGGATTTGCTTCCCAGACTTTGCTGACATTCGTGGTGGTAATGTGACTCATGGACAACTGGAGGTTTTATTAACCACCACCACATTCCAGTTTAAAGCACAGCAATTGTAATGACGCAGAATTTCATTTGTTACAGAGACGAGAAGAGGAGCTGTGATTACATTTACATTATTGACATTATAGGACCTGTGTATGTCTGGGGGGACGGAGAGATCGGAGAAGGGGCAGTTGAAGAAGGGGTTGTGCTGGTTTGAAAAAAGAAAATCAATCAGTTTAATCTCTGAATTCAAGGCGAGGGGAGGATGACAAATGACTAAACGATGAAAGAGGAACAGTAAAAAGGAGAAGAAAAAAAAAACCCTCTGTAACACAGGTACCGTCCGCAACATTCATCTTGTGAGTCTGTGTAGAAGAAGCAGTTTTGAATACTTTGCCAGGTGTTTATGCGTCGTTCTGTAGACAGATTTAGTCAACGTGAACCCTTTTTAAAGCAACCTTTGACCCGTGCGTCTACAGGCATGTATCTTCTTCTATTCACATCAAATATACTCGTTTGCATGTACATCATCTTCAGTATAACATTGATTTCCAAATAACAAATGACTACAATGTAAGGGAGACAATTATAGTACCGTCCTTTCTGGCTGGACTTCACTGCCTCTTTTTAAAATGGCACAAATAGCTCTAACTTAAGCTCTCTGCTGTTAACTGCTCATATGTTCATACCTCTGCCTTTTTCTTTGCTTTTGATCTGTGAACAATTTTTACCAAGTAATTCTCCCTCTCTGGGCCGACATTCAACTTGTAAGTGGACTTAAATTAAACAACATTAGGCTGTGTGCTGTCTCAGCGTGGCTAACATAATTTCTCACTGTTGTGTCCCACATAAATGAAGCACAGGCTTGGCAATGAAGCGTTGAGTTTTGAGGTTTGATTTCAGCTCTTGGCTGATATCGCCTGGCACCCCACCTCCACTTTTCTTGTTCTCTCTTCAGTATTCAACAAAGCCCAAATGTCATGAGAATTAATTATAGGACTGGGAGGACATTTTCATCTTTGTTCATATCTGCACTCCAGGGATAGAGAGAGAACTTAAGCTCAATCATGTGTGTGTGTGTGTGAAAGAAAACAGCGGCTCGATATTGAGAGAGACATTACAAGTCAAGAAGCAGCACACGACTGGATCCGTTTCAGACAGTCAGACAGAGAACTGGGCCATCCATAAAACATAGTGGATTACACACAAAGACATTGCAGTAACAGATGTACTGCCTGCGTACAAACAAACACTTAAATCGTACACGTGAAGCTCATGGCGAGCACACAGGGACAAACAAGAGGCCATAAACATTCATTTGTGTATGCACGTCCACAGACCCGCGAACACTCTTTTTCACGCAAGCAGAATTCCCTTTTCTTTCTCTTCCTCGGCTCTGAAATAATAAGCTCCACATTTCAGCAATTCAGACCTAGAGACATGTCTTGTAGGCAGAATTTTAAAGAGAGAGTCAGAGTGTGGACAAGCTGATTTAGTGGCAGATCTATCCAAAATAAAGTCAGAGCGGCCTGAATTTATTCATTTGATGGTGTTTTATTTATACATTAAGTCAGAACTACTGATTTAATACAGTATAGGCATAAGAGGTAGAAATAATTCAAAAAATAAATGAATCCCTGTGATTTGTGTGGTCTGGTTGATGCTGCATCACTCTTTCAACTTCAGTGCGTGTGAGTCTTATTTATATGCATAGAGATGCTGACGAGCATACATGCATAAAATCCCCTTTTGTCACTCTTTATTGTGATTCTTTCTGCAGGCATTCATTGTGGCTCAAGAGACACGATCCCCACTCGCCGCCACCAGCTCTGTAAATCATAACCAGCAATTTTCTCTGTAAATAGCCAATGTACCAGTTTCAGGCCCAGCGGGAGTTTCCACCGATCTGACACATTAGGGTTAATAAAGGTATGACAAATGTCCCAACAAATACATTACTTTTACAGCTGCTAGATAAGGGGGTGATGCAGTACAAGATAACAAACATTTAAGGTGGCGTACATGTTTGATCATTCATCTCATCGACAACAAACAACAACTTCTCTAAATTACTGTCACCAAAGCTTTACAGCACAAGATCTTGAATACAGTTTTGTACGTGTAAAATGCACACACAAAATCTTATTTTTAAAGTCTTATTTTGGACACTAGTAAATCGCTTAACTTTGGATACTTATATTGAGATTAGTTTCCTCAATCGGCCACCGCTATAGCAAATCCCTTAACTTCAGTAGCAATCTGTATCACTACAAACCAACAGCTGGGGCTCCCAAACTCTCTCTTTCTGCCTCTTTTCACCATCCACCAGCTCCCCTCAACCTCTGCCTCCATCCATCCTCATCCTCTGCAACCAGTCAATAAACCTTCCTCATCACTTCCTCATCTATTCACGACCTCTTGTCAGCGTCCTGCATCTGGGTCGACCTCACTACACCGTACCAACATAATTTTTATTTTATCAGGTCAACTCATTGAAATCAAGACTCAGTTTGCAAGAGTAAGAGTAAGAGTAAGCTACAGGAGATAAAAAGCAATCATGACTAGCTGAATTTGCTAAATATACAGATAAAAATATTTTTAGTCTGATGTCTAGTTGTTTCTTCTTGCCTGGTAGCAAATGCCCCATGGCCTTGGTACCAGTCCACGGTGTGTTGGGAACCACTGTCTGGATTTTAACAAGCTACACTCGTGCTTTGTGTCGCTGTACGGAAACAGACTCTTGACTCCAGTAAATGACGCGGACAGTGGAAGGATAATTAGTGTGACAGTGGTCTTCGACCCTTTTACATCCTGGCCCCGGGGAGAGAGACCCCACCACGCAATGGCATCACCAGAGTGTTGTGTTCACGTGGGTGACATGACCTCTGATCATGGGAAACACTGTGGTGATGCTGCAGAAGAATGAGCCCTGGTTTATACTGATACTGTTGGCCTGGGTCATCAACAATATGACCACAGAACGTCCAGTCACAAACCACTTGGGTGTCATGGAAAGTTCCGTCACCATAAAGGTTACGGGGCTCTTCTCCTATGTTGACCGGTTAATCAACGTATGTGTTTTTCCAGCTAAAGATAGACATGGACAGTAAAGCTTTCCATAGAGTGAAGAGAAGGGTGTAGGGTGAGCAGCCTTTGAAGACTGTTTGTCCTTCAGACCTCTGGTTGGTGATGACATTGATATTGTCACAGTCACGGCCGTAACTCTGGGGTTTATTTCTCTGTGTTTTCCCATGTCTTTCTTTCTCCCTGTCTGTTCCATCTTTTGTCTGTTTCCCTGTGTGTGTGTGTGTGTGTGTGGGTGTGTCTGTGTGTGTGTGTGTGTGTCCGGAGTAATTCTGTTTCCCTGTGTTCCAGAAACCGGTTCTCTGCCTCCCTGCATTCATCAGCCACACCAGCCTGCCCCGCCACCTCCCCAGCCATTCTGCTACCTATGCCAATCCACCGCTCTATGCCATCTTCCCTTCATCTTCGCCATTCCCCAAACCCAACCTCATTCCCCCCTTCGTCCCCTTAGTTGCAATAAATTCCCTCAATCATTTTACCGTGCATCTGAGTCTGCTTTTGGGTCCAACTAACTCTGCTGAACCGTGACAGATATTTAACAAAATACTGGATCTGCTGAATGTGATTAAGGTACTTTAAACCTACTCTCTGAATTACTTTTTACTACAAGTGATGGGGGTCATACATGAAGACACTGCCACAGTACAATGACAATGACAATGGGATGATAGTTCAACATGTCAATATCACAAACAAATGTGAAAATTGATTAAACTGAAAAAGAACAGAAACACCAAAACAAGGTGCTTGAGTGCAGGTTACAATTTACAACCCTTTCATATTTTACAAGGCTCTATAATGACTGGATTTCTGTTTATTTTTACTACTGCTACTACTAAAGTGCTCCAAAACAGACTTCTCACATTGAAAAGGGTGGTATAATTTGAGAACGATATTACATTTGGTCAACAATCCTCAACATAGAGCAACATTTTCTCATCAACAATTTAAATTACAGGAAATCTAAACTACATTCACTCTGTGGGATGCCAAGGCCCGTAGGGGTCCCTAGATCTCCCTGTGACACCCATGTATTATGTATAAGCATGAGCCCGGTGAATAAGTCAATAGATAATTACAGTTTATTTTTTTCCATTTCTGTTTTTGGGATGACCTGTTAGTGCATCCTTTTTTTCCGGCCGAGGTGGAAATAAACTGCTGAGACCAGCAGAAAGAGAGATGAAAAAAGAGAGAAAGAGAGAGAGAGAGAGAGAGAGAGAGAGAGAGAGAGAGAGAGAGAGAGGGAGAGAGGGAGAGAGAGAGGGAGGGCAGTTGATCCATCCTTCAGTACTCTCCCTCCCTCTGGGCATTTCCCTGCTGGCACAAGATGTGTGGAGACTGCAGCATTTTGAAACCTCCACCGTGCCAATGAACTGTGTGTGAGTGTGTGTGTGTGTGTGTGTGTGTGTGTGTGTATACAATATATGCTCATGTGTTATATATGATCAATTCAGTGTGCATCAATTCATGTGTTTATATGTGTGGGTGTATATTTGCTAATATTTGCTGTTCTTTTTTTGCATTTGTGTGTGTGTGTGTATGACTCACCGTTCTCCACACCAGATGCTTCACAGCCATCTTCATCATCGCAGTCGTCGTCGCCGCTGCCTCTCTCTGTCTCTGCACTTCCTCCCTCCTCTTCCTCCACCTTTCCTGTGGTTTTGCTCGCCCAGCCGAGGTCCACTAACAGCTCCTAAATACAACACACAGTCATGTCTTTTGGGGGCATTATACATTGCCTTAAATTCATCAACAAACTACAATACGTCCAAAACTCAGCTGCCATCATTTAAAACCTCCACTGGCTCCCCATACAGCAAAGGATACAGTTCAAGATTCTTCTCATCACATATACAAAGCCGTTCACAACCTTGCCATTTCATACCTTAAGGACCTCCTGCATCGACACGCTCCCAACCCCAGATCCGCCGACGCCAACCTCCTTACCCCCCCTACTCTGTCTAAGCATCAGACCTGGGGGGACAGGTCCTTCTCCATTGCTGCCCCCTCCCTCTGGAACTCCCTCCCCCAACACCTCAGACATTCTCCATCACTCGTGCACTTTCAAAACTGCACTTCAAACTCACCTGTTTAAATCTGCTTTCAACCTGTGATGCTAGTTATGTAAGTTTTTGTTTTGTTTCTATGTCATCTATCTGCCTTGTTTACATTGTTATTGCTTTTATTGATTCTGTTTTTACCATGTAAAGTGCCTTTGAGCACCTTTTAAAGCGCAATACAAAATAGATGTATTATTATCAATAATAAGAGAGAGAATATATATATTTTTAATAAAAGCACTAAATGACCACATCAACCCTTTTGTACAAACACCGAGTAACAAAAAATATACAAACGCACACACAAGCAGAGAGCAGACTAAAGGGTGATTGAGGTCACGCTGTCTCAGTTAAGTAACAGCGTGGATGCTGTGGCATGTTACATAATGCTGAATGGTAACCTCTCCTAGAGTTCAATTAATGAGGCATTTAAAAGAAAAACATCCACTCAGTTCTAAAATTAAATATTTAGCTTTAGAATTTTTTTTAACTCATAAAGGACAACACAAAGTTTTTGTCTAAGTAAGAAACTATAAAACACCAAAATGGGGGTGAGCAGGTTTTCACACATACTGTATACAAGAACATATTTAATTGGTTCACAGTATGAAAAATGTAAATTGTAGAGAGTCAAGGTGGGTAATAAATAAATTCCAGCTGAGGGCAGAGATAAGGCAAACAGCCACTAGCTTTATAAAGGAAACAGATATTTGACACTGACATTTCATTCTACTTTATTTTAGATAATATTTCTATAGAGCAATGCCTCCACGATTGTAACATCATGATTTGAGTTATAGCTCACACTGAAATATGTCTGGCAAATGAAATACTTCGAAGGCCAAACTGAGAGTCAACTGTTTTGAGTTTAAAATTACAATAGTTTTTTTTACAACTACATTGTCATGCAGGGTAAGAGTAGTTACAGCAATGCTTCCAGGCCTAAGTTGCTTGTTGTTTGATAACCAAATCCATTCTACAGTCCAATATCTAAACATTGGCTTAACTCTGCCCCGCAAATATAATCCCAAAACACAATAACTATGGTATAAGCTGTTGCTGTATATTGTGAGGCATAATGTGATGCGCACACACTGAATGAGTATGCAAACAGTATATCTTTTTTCTGAAAATGTGCAGCTGTAGACCTACACATAATTATACTGCACTTTCCACGAATGTATTTAACTGGGACAAGAGGAAACAATGTTAAATGGACTAAAATATGTCATGCAAACAGACAAGACTTCATGTGTTCATATTTTGAATAAATAACCAAAAAGTGCATGATATAGTGCTCATTTTTAACAGTTTTTAAACAGCAATTGTTGTTTTAGAATAAGTTTTCAAGTTGGA